TGAAAAGAGGTGAAGTGAGAAAAAAAAGAACATATCAGCGCTCTCACTCCAATTATTTCTGCTGAACTGAGAAAAAAAAAGAGAGCTCGATAAAAAAGGTCGAGATTATTAAACTTAAAGTCTAAAACTTTGTGACAAAAAATGGAGACAAAAAAAGATAATCTAAACATGGTTTGTAAAGAAAACCTTATAATACACCTTCTGTTTACAGAGAACTCGAGATGATCATTTAATTACTTTTACATAAAAGTCAGACTGATGGTTCCCAAGTTGAGAGGCGCACATCCTTTCACACACGATTAATCCTGGTGGAGGAAAGAGGGAGAAAGAGAGAGATGATTAGGTAATGTTCAGTCCTTTCAGCTGAGCACAGGCATCATTAACAATCTAAGCACCGCCTGTGGTGAACCGCAGACTGATGGCTGAAATGCCAGAAAAGTTCAACACAGTAATGAGGAAAACTGCTCTCCAGCTGTAGCCGATGACAGTTTTAAAAGCAAACTGTGGCCAATAATTTCAGTGTGACATTTTAGTTGGTCATGGTTAAAATAAAAGAATTACTTCTTAGCTGTTTCCCTCTACATTGTAATCACTACTATGAGGGGTTTATTAGGGGCAGTTTTTTAAAGATTATCACTTGCACCGAGTTTATTTCCTGTCTGATCACTAGTATCCAAAGCAGCAGTCACTCAGTTGGAGGCAGAAGAAAAAAAGTGCTAAAGACTTTTTTCACTCTGCAGCACCAGTTAGCTAATATTTTACAGCAGCAAAACTTATGTTAAATAAGGTGCAGGTTCTCCTTCTCAGACTTATTTTAAAATATACGTGTTTGTTTGTGCACAGCTGGTTCCTTCTTTTACCTGTCCATCAGCAGAGCAGCTGGGTAGATGAGTCTGTGGTCTGCCATTTTCTTTCTCAGCTAACATTTGGCTTCCAAACACTTTCTTCTGTTAGAAAAATAAGAAAAAACTATTACACAAGATCAACAGATTTTGGAATAATCAAAACACTGATTAATAGGATCACAGGCAAATATATATGAAAAGCTTTGTGTCTATAAGAGGTTGGCAAGAAATCACATGATGGGTAATGCAGACACACAAATACTGTCAACAAACCTTTATTATTCCACCCCAAGAGCGTGAACGCCAGTGCCTCCTGCTGAATGGTGCCCGAGACTCTGCTGAGGGTGTCTGTTTCTCGATCTACACGGAAAAATACACCACCTTACGTGTTGGTTCTCCAAGCACCTTGTATGCATGTCTTTCTTATCACAGCAGCATCACACTGAGTACCTGTCTGATGAGTTTTTTCTTTTTGGCAGACTCTGGCATGCTGCTGACTTGCTGGTAAAGCTCTCTGAGGGCTGATTCAGTGTAATTCTGAGTATCAGATGTGACTGTTGTTATGGAGGGAGAAGGGGAGGCCACTGTCACTGCAGTCATAGGGCCCTCTTTGGCCCCAGAACAGAGAGTCAAGTCATCCTAAAAAATGTCAAAACAAACCAAATAACATTCAAAAATCTGTTTTCATAGAACAAAACCAATCAAACAGTTTTTGAGAGATAACTGCAAAGATTTACTTGTTGCTCTAAGTGAGAGTTTACAAACAGCTTTAAAATCTGACTACTGAACCAGTATTTAAGTTTTATTTCCGGCTCGTTTGAAAATTATTCTATTAAACGCCTTGAAGACACCAGCCTTTCCAGGTTCTGGAGTTAGACATCCAAGTGTCTAAAATGAACCAAACACTGAAGTGACTGGATTTGGTAATTTGCTAAGTGCAATGCAGTACTAACGCTGCCTTTTTTCCCTACTAAGACAAACTCTGTTAGAAATAGAAAACAAAAATACTTACATTTGACTGAAGAGCTTTTGATCCTGTGAAGTACAAGCGGGCATATTCTTTGATATACGCAGGCGCCTTCAATGAAAACAGACGAACATTAAAGCCTCTGGAAACAACTAAATATACTAATGTGGAAGCTATTCAGACATAAAGCACAGTGCGTTAAGGCTAACTATGTTCTACTTTGAAACTGAAATAAATAATTCATACTACATAAAGGGATCTGATTAAAGTGGCCTGTGGTTTCATTTCAGTAGTTTAATCAAATTAGTATTGAATAAAGTATTTGTTAGACATAAAATAATTAACAGCATATAAAATCAAAACTTGGGCAAATCCAAAGGGGAATATAATCTGCACACAAAACTTGAAAGCAACAAATGCATCAGTAACATGGAAAAACACAGGAAAACCATTTGTTTGATGGGGAAAAAACTTAATGTTAGTCAAGTATGTAGGCTATAGGTGAACATATTAGTTAAAGACCAAAAAAGTCCCAGCTGTAATAAAAAAAAATACCCATAAATGAAATATTCTCAATAGACTAATTAAAAAACCTGATCTTAATTCCAATCTGAGACACATCGCAGCAGGTGAGATTTAAGATGGCCTGGAAATTTCAGAAATATTAAGTTTGATGATGATTCTCTGTCCAAATACCTTTAAAATCCTACACTTCAGACACTGAGTTAAAAGGGCGCCATCAGCCACCTACTTCTTTCTTCCTCTAAACCTGCTTGAACTCAAAACTTTATATTGACAGGAATTTGTCAAATACAATGTGTGCAGGTAAAGAGCCTTATGGCGGCTGATTGCAGGACATTTAAATGATTATAATTTTACTTTTATATATATATAATTTCTGTGTTCTTGCTCTCTATCACGTTTGTTTGTACTTGTAACCCTGGCGACAAAGGCCCTTATTATGAAACTTTCATTAAGTAAAGAGAAGACATATTGTTATAATACATGGCATATGGTTGTGAGATACCATCTAGGTGCCTGTTTATATGACACCTAATAACGTTTAATTGATAAGACCTGCCTGGGTTTTGCTTTAAAAGGAAATAATGTTACATTTTGATTTTTCTATTGTCAAAAAAAGCAAAAAACAAAACAAAACAAACATTTTGTTTATTTTTTTTATAAGTTAAACAACACTGATGCAATAAGTGATCAATGCCTGGGGAGCTTACCTTGAACAGTTTTTGTGAGTGTCTAATAAGGAATGCTATGCCATTATTGAGTTTTTCTATGTCTCCCTGAAGATCACTTGCCATTACCTGCAAAATTAAAAGAAGAAGAAGAGGTCACAAAGAAACACAAAAAGCTAGTAGTATTATTATTATTATTTGTCATGGTTCATTTGACTGCAAACAGTGTTTCGGAAGACAGAACAAAATGAACCTAAGGTCTTTACATTTTTGGGCCAGATGATGTGTGGAGCAAACATCTTGGCTAAATTGATAGCAGACATCTTGTTGGAGTGCTGATTGCGAGCTGTGCTGTGCAGTAAATCAAACAGCAGCTTCAACAAGCTCCGGTTGGCAGATGGGAGAAGCATAAACAGGAGCTGAAACGCCTCGATCTGGCGTTCCTTATCTGGCACATTTGTCTTATCCCCTTGATCATCAAAGCGAGTCAACTCTAAAAACAAGTGACAAAAAATATTACAAAGCACAGGTAAGCAATATTTTTCCTGACCGTGGATTAATCTGAATGACAAAGATCTGTGCACGAGCCAACCAGCACCTCCAATCTTCAGATGAGCATGATAGTGTCTGTGTGTCAACAGAGGCTCTGGAAGCTCTCCCAAGTAGGCCTTGAGCAATGTTGCGGCATCATTGGGGTGGAAATCGCCTGTCTCTAGATCTATCTCTGCCCCAGTGTTCAGCATCTCCCTCAGGGCTGCCTGCCTTAAGCTGTGGCCTGGCACACGAAACAGCCCCTCCACATGAAGGTCTGAGGGGTGGGAGAGAAAGATTGAGAGAGACAGCCAGAAAGGGGGAGGGTGGAGGGTGTTTAGGTAGGCAGACACACAGTGAAGGAGACACAGAGAGCCAAAGACACAGCAGTAAGGTGAGTGATGGAGAGAAGTAAATGGAAGGAGGGAGTCAGCAAGAGCAAAGTGCTTTCAGATAAATTATTGATTCAAACATTTTCATCCAGTGTCCACTTTCAGTGAATGACATCATTGCTTTCTAGAAATAAACCATGACCTCATGGCAATTCAATGCTTAAACTAAGTTACAGAGCAAGTAAAAAGTGTTATGCTTGACATATACGATTTAGTATAATCCAGTTATTTTAATCGTGTTTCAAAAAATAATATTGTTAAGAATTTCTTTGCCTCTGGAGGTGACATATGCAAAGGGGCAATATCACAAAACACTCTGGATAATATGGTTCATTTAATGTCACGTTATATGAGCATGTGAATCAATACTCACTTTTATTCAGGTACTCGATGAGCTGATAGATCTGTGCGATTCCTTCTTCAGTTAATGGTGCACCAAAAACGACTCCTTTGTCTGCAAGAAATCAAATGACACATCAAGGCTGATTGTAGGCTTTTTGTGTACAAATGGACCTATTCTAGTCAAAATAGAAAGATGTGAGAGGCAAATTATAACTACAAGATGACTTGATGAAAATCTAAAGCGCTTTAGTCTTCAGTCCTTATTGTTCATCACCTGATGAATAATTAGATGAGAGATGATTTGCTTAACCAAAATAAACACTGGATTACTCTTGCTTTTCATTTGTGAGGGTTAGATGCTGCCTTCTTTTTCATGCCCCCCTAAACTCCCCATAAGCAGGAACAAGCAATCTTATCATATTTGCTTATGGTAAATTATGTACTGATTGCTTAACTACTAAATTATTTCAGCCTTAGAAATAAAATTACATGACTGAGAAACTCCACACAACTCTGCTTTCTCCCTCAGGAAATCAATAACAAAAGAATATAAGCATTACATAAATTATATTTATTTATTCAAAATACCGTTTCAAAGGCGGTTAACATGTGTGCATAACGAAGACTCTTATGGCCTAACCTTTCCGTTTCAGGAAGTTAAAGGAGCGTAGAAAGCCGCTGGATGAGGGGACTCTAGGCTCCGAGTCTCCAGTAAGCTGGGCAAACTCGTCCCCAGGCAGATCTATCATTCGAGTGATGTTGCTAAGTACCAGCTCCGTGAAAGCCTGCGGATGTTCATGTCTCAGCCGCTCCACGAAGAAGTCCGGGTTAAAGATGACAGGCTGGTTCGGCTTTTCCTGACTGATAAACACATTGCATTTTGTCTCCCTGTTAAAGGAAACACATACGCCATAGATTAATGTCCACTTGAAATGATAAAACTTCGAGCTGGCCCGAGAATAAAGCCTTAAAAGTAAGACTGCGTGAATTATCGAATTAACATTAGCTTATGTTAGTATAAACTGTTGCTAGGTTAACTTAGCTCCACTGGCTATTGCTAACAGGGAAAAAACACAAGTCCCAATGCAAAGTAGTAAAAACAGAGTTTTGTTTTATTAGTACTAATCCTCTGATGGACGCATAGTTTACTCAGCAGGACTGTAACTTGTTCATCTTTGTCAACTTAATCAAAAAGTCCTTACTTTCTTTCGAGTTTGTGATTGTTTGGGGAACCATTTTCAGCCGCCATCTTCATTTTGAATCCTCCGCTGGTTCATATTTAGTCCCGCCCATTGACTTGTGATTGGCCGAGATATACACACGTCACGTCGGTGACGTGTGTATATCTGTGTATATTCTCCAAAAAAAAAAAAAAAACCCCAGCAAGCTATGATACAATAGACTGCAACATCATGATTAGGAAACAGTTATCATTTTCTGTTCCTGAAAATATACATTTTTGAATTGTGTCCTGTTGGCTAATAAATCCAGAACCTGTTTGCAGAGGGAGGAACTCACACCTAGTGTTGAGAGTTTTTGCACTGCAGTCTGTGGGTTGTGTCAAAGGCAGTGAAATCCAGTAAAAGCACATATAAATAAAACTCCTTATTTTCCAGGTGTTTCAGGGCTGTATGAACCAGTGATGAGATGGCATCATACTGGTAGAGGTCCACAGTGACATCAGTGGAGTTCTTTACGTGGGACACTTCATGACAGTCAGTGCGAGGTCTGTTTATGTTCACAATCTGTCAGTGCCTATCCAGGATTATTGTCAGGGTTAGAGTGCTATGGAATCAAGATCCTCAGACAGAGATGGGTTGCTGGGGAAGTGTTCATGTTTAGTGTTTTAGTCTGTGATGCACCTAATGCCTTTTGCAAGTGTGCCTTGAGCTGTAAAGAAGTGCCCCTTAATCATCTGGGTACATGTGGCTTTCCCCCTTCTGATGTTCATTTGGTAAATGGTAAATGGCCTGTATTTGTATAGCACTTTTTTACTAGTCCCTAAGGACCCCAAAGCGCTTTACACATCCAGTCATCCACCCATTCACACACACATTCACACACTGGTGATGGCAAGCTACACTGTAGCCACAGCCACTGCACTGACAGAGGCGATTTGATGTTATGTTTCTGTGCATCTGTTGTTAGAGTTACCAGATGTTTGTAAGGTTAACGTGGATCAAAGACTATACAGTTACTAAATCTGAAAAATAGTATAAAATTTTGATACATCTAAAATACATACACCAAATCAAAGTATGTTGGTTACAGGTTTGGCATTGAAGGACAAGTACACTGTATTTATTTGGACATCGTTTTGCAAATTTTGTAAAAGCATAAATAGAAACTTTAAAAAAAAATCCTATTAGAGCATAGTTTTGGACACTTCTTAACTATTTGATCAGTAAATTTATTATTATTGAAACCCTTAGGTGTACAGGCTCCTGCGTATATAGTAGAGCCAATGAGACCTTATAACTTCAGCCGGTCTCTCCAATCATCTGATCAGGATATCCAGTTATTTTAACACCAGACGTTGAGGTTTTGGCACCTAAACTCTGGAACAGCCTCCTTCATCCTATTAATTTAGCTTAATTAAAAAGACTACTGAAAAATAATTTCTATACCTTACCCTTTCTCTGCTTTTTTGCCCATTATATGTGGCATTTTGTTCTTCTAATACATGTGTATAGGAGTGTGTATGCAAAAATGAATAAAAGACTGAAAAGTAATTGTGTGTTTTTATGCTAAGTGGTTTAACAAACAAAAAAAAATTCCTCTAAAAATGGTCAGGTACAAGGGCTAAACTGAAAATGAGTGAAAAAGCAGCCAATTTCCAATGAAAAAGTGTATCATGACTAAACGGAAGCCTTGTGCACTAAAATGTCATATAAATCAACATCATGCTTTGTCCAGGAACACAATACATCCACAGGTTATACTTCAGTGAGTCTATATTTATAGAATGCTGATCGGTGAGGTTTCAGTCAAGTCAGGTCTCCTGGTGTTTGGTTGTCTTGGCAACACAAACTTGACTCGTGTGCTCCAAAGAATAAAACATAAAAATATTTGACAAAAACATATATTTATAAAGCATTAAACATACAACAAGGGTCTCAAAGGTCTGAAATATAGTTTGAAAATATCCTGCGTGTTGTGAAATTTACAGACAAATTGACTTATTTTAAAAATGTAGGAATAGTCAAGCCAGTTTTAAACAGTTTTCTGAGAAGAAAACACATAATCATGTGTAATCAGCGCTGCCAGAAAGCAACACATGTATGACTCATTTAGGGAGTTACCTTTTCTTAAAAAAATAAAATAAAATAAAAAAAACAGTTAAAGTCAAGTGCAGCATCAGCTATGCATACAAGCACATGAATCTTCTCCATGTTGAAAAATGAATATGTCACACCTGTAACAAACTTCAATATTAATCTTATTCAACATATATTTTAAACTTCTTTAACAGCAGACTCATAAATATCTTTTTTTGGTAATCATTTGCAAATGCGGTGTTCTAAATTTATATACAAATGTAAGACTGCACACCACAACGTGAGCTTTACACCAGTTGCTGTAAAATCATTTTCTTCTGTAGCTACACAAAAAAGGACTCTAAAAATGTGAATTCCACACGTACTGTAGAAAGAGTCAATCATTTTACAATATTTACAAAAAGACTCAGAAAACCTTGAGCAAGAGAAAGAAATGAAAGGAGGCAGTGATACAATAGCATGAAAGAGTATAGCACAGAATTCAGAGCGCTAATCAGTGCAGCTCATACTGAAAAGAGGCTTTCATGTTTATCCCCATTACGTCCACTCCTCTTATCTGATTTTTAGCCACTATATTGAAATTTCTTTTCACATTTGTCTTCGCAGAATTTACCATCAATCCTCTCTCTGGCTGTCACGTTTGCTTCTTCTGCAGACCTCTGTCTCAACTGAGACGTGAGCCCATAGGTCCAGTAGCAGTGAGGTCTGAGCTTACCCAGGGTTCTCCAGCATGCCCTGCGAAATGTGTGGGAGGAAATACAGAACAACAGGGGGTCCAAAGCACCGTTGATATACCACAGTGGGAGGGACAAATACGATTTCAAGATTGTTTAAATGGAAAGGACCGTGTCGGACCACACAACCACGTAAACCTGCATAAGTGATGAGGCGATATCAGGAAAGTTGCAAACAAAAAAAGCCACCACAGCTGCACCTGAAAAGCAGAACAGAGAGAGTGTTGATAATTCAACATTCTGAAATGATTTTTAATAGTACACTAATGTAATTCATTTGCATATAAACTGGAGTAATTGCAGGACAGCAAGGCTGTTTATGATTGTCTCATTGATTAGATAAAGAAGAGCAGTGTCCTGTACTCTTCTGCCATTACTGAAGCCACTGCTTTATAGATTGACCTGGTATGTGTCCTTCAAAGCAGTAATAGGATTTTAAACTTTTTTTTATCGCTCACCCATTAGTTTTAGAGCTCTCTTTTCATTTACAAGCAGTTTCCCATTCTGGTGACACTTGATTGTTCACCTTCCTTCTGGATCCTGTGGCATAAGACCCATGTTTGTCCTTTGTTGGCTATTCTTCCTCAGGTAGTGCAGGATGAGCATATAAAGAGTAAGGATGGACACTAGTGGGACCTGTTGTTGGAGAGGCCTGTTAGGTCCCTTTGTTTTACGTTGACACAAAAACATAACCTGTTAAATGGTACTCGTCTCACCAGAAAGAAGAACCCGGCTCTCAGAAGTAAGGCGCCTTTGTAGATATGCGCAGGATCTGGCTCTGTCATCTCACACATGGTAGAAACTTGGAAGGCATCTTCTTGAGTGGTAGCTGTGTAGTCCAGGATGCAAGCGCGTGCCTGGTCATAGACCAGTGCAAAGGGGACAGCAGAGACCAGAGAAATCAAACACGCTGACACAAGGCACGGCACTCGAGAACTCTTTTAAAAAGACAAGGGAAGGAAAATTAGTTTATTAACTCTTCTTTACATGATACAAAAATAGAGATGGCAACAGTAAACGTATTCAGTACCTTGTTCTTTCTCTGCGTATTTTATTTATTATGCTGCTGGATACATGCTTTACTTTCCATTGATTTATAAACAAAATTTTAAACTTAATCAACTCTGAGTACAGATGATCAACAGTCACTGAACAGTCATTAGAAAGGGTTATTTGTATTCAGGTTATGTCATTTTTTTTCAATGAGCCTTTTTTTTATACAAATCCTGGAATATTTATTATTTCCATAATGTCAAATAAACAAATAAAAGGCATTTTTGTACTTGTCTCTCTAAAAATGTCTACTGATTTTGCTTAAAGAAAGGAAGGAATAAATCTGCAGCTGGGACACACAATTTTTTACATTTAATTATGTTTTAGAACTATTTTCAATCGCTGATGATTGAGTTATTGCAGCAAACCATGCAATTATAGTTTTGTATAGTTTCTCACTCATCATTCTCTGCAAAATGTTAGACATAAAATTGGGAAGTGATGCAAAAATAAATCCCCTGAAGCCACAGATGATGGGGGTGGTGGAGTGGCTAAAACAGCAGGAGAAATCAGTTTTTTTCTTTTTTCTTCAGCTTAAATAACCAATTTGTGTGTTTGCTAAATAATAAGAAGACAGGGAGAGATTGTGTGCATATAATTGGATAAGCCAGCTTAATAGCTTCCTTTCACTTGTAAAATAATAATAATAATAATAATTTAATTTCCTTTTAAAAAATTCATATTGAAATCTACTGTCACCTACAAAATCTTTGTAAAACACACTGGAGATAAAAAGAAGCTTAACATTAGGATATTGTAAGGCATTCATAAATGGATAAATTGAATCAGTAATGTTGAGAAAACACTTTAACTAAGTACTTGCAGAGAAAATATGCTGTAAAGGTCAATATTCTAAAAATATACCAATTAGAAACCTTTAAAGTATACTGTAATTATGTCAAACATGTCTTTCAGTTCAATATGAAGCTGACCTACATGCTCTTTACAAACCCGTAACATGACCAATAAGCTAATATATAATTTAAAACCAAACTAATGACTATTTTAAGGCTATAATATGCAACTGAAAGTCTCTATTTAAAGGTAAAGGCTATTTGATGAGTAGTACAGACTCACCTTCTAGGGAAAAGATGCAGGATGAAGACTGGCAGCAGGCTTCACAAGCAAAAAAACAAGTCTTTGGTCTCTCCTTCCCTCAGTGAGTCTTATTCTTTCTCTCTGCCTCTTGCTCACTTACCCTCTTTCTCGCTTCCTTCATCTCCCTCTCTTATGACACACACAAACACACTCCCAGATGGTCACAAGACTGACTAGTAGAAATTTAGCAGTGGCTAAAAACAGCTGCTTCATGTAAAAATAGTATATGTAGAATAGCCACAAAACAATCAGTGTACAAAAAGTATGTTTTTAATTCAATATGGAAAATGATTCATGTGCTCCAGTGGCGCAATCGGTTAGCGTGTGGTACTTATATGACAGTACATTGTAGAGCAATGCCGAGGTTGTGAGTTCGAGCCTCACCTGGAGCAGTCTTTCCACATTTTTTTAAGTGCTATCCTATTCTGCATGCTGAAAAACCCCCATTAATTAGAATAAAGTGCAACAAAACAAAAAAATAACTAAAGGCAGATAAATGGATGAATAAATATACATCAAGTATAGTTCTTCATACTTTAGAGACACATGTATTCCAATTCCCCTGCTTTGTTGTCTTGTGCAAACAACTCTTTTCATTCTCTTTGCTCTTCTCCTCAATATATTGTCTCGTATCACTTAATTACAGCAGTAGGTCATATCTGCTTTTGGATCTTACACTGTAATAGAAAAAATTGAAAATATTATCTGGTTGTCACCAACATCACTCTTCGTGCACTCAGCATGTGGAAATAGCACTATTATTATGTTAATAAGCAAAACATAACAGAATGACAGTTGATGTTGGCATGAAATTAAAGGAATTTCAAAGTAAAAATCAAAAAAATTGTAGAATGGAGTTTGCAACCAATACAGGATAGAGCAATGGTGGCCAATTAATTCCCCAAGCAGACACATGAGAAACTGAGTCTGCCTCCCTTCACAACAGCCCTCCTCATCAGAGCCTGTTTCTTATTTGGTCCCTTGGGAAAATCAGTTTCCCACCACTGTATAGAGTGTTACCCAACATATGCTACAACAACTGCAAAAGAAGCCCAGACGAGTTCTCATGTGACCCTCAACCTCCTGTAATCACACCTTACACTAGACATTACACTTTTGTTTTGTATCTTTCATTTTTTTGTGTGTTTTTTTTTCCAACAGCTATCCTAATTAAAAAAAAAACAAAAAACAATCTCACAACACAATTAGTACATTTTATGGAACCTGAAACCTGAAACTGTTGGAGCTAAATCATATATAAAACAAGTACAAAGTTATAAATGTGTGCTGCTTTCTAGTGTTATCCCAGCATCCTTTGCCATGGCGTAGAAATGACCTTCTTTTTCAAGCATGTTGTTCGGCGAATCAAATTCCACTATTTTTCCAGCATCAAGCACCATTACCCTGTTGGGAAGAAGCACAGACTTTAATAGTAATCCAATGAGTAATGTCCATACTGTCTAGCATAAGGGAATGCTTTGGTGTTCCCCAGCCACCTCCTCCAACTTATCTGGGGAACACCAAAGCATTCCCAGGCCAGCTGAGAGACATGATCTCTCCAGCATGTGCTGGATCTACTTTGGGGCCTCCCTCCTTTTAATGTGGAGGAGTAGCAGCAGTACTCGGAGCCCCTCTCCAATGACTGCACTTTTCATCCTATCTTAAAGAGAGAGCCCAGCCACCCTTAAGAGAAAGCTTAAGACTCATGAAAATAGGTGAGGTTGGGGACATAGACTGACTGCTAAATCGCTAGGTTTACTTTAAAGCTCAGCTCTCTTTTTACTACTACAGACCTAAGTAGCATCTACATCACTGCAGCATCACCCCCAATCCATCTGTCAGTTTCTCACTTCACTTGTGAACAACACCCAGAGTAACGTATACTTTTTATTCTGGCTCAGGCTAAACACTCTTTTCTGCCTGAGGCCTATGGCCACAGACTTGGAGTGGTACATTCACACCACTTCACACTTCGCTGTAAACTGGCAGGACTACAGAATAAAGATCTGGTCCACTGTTCCCCAAACAGGACAAAAACCACATTGCTTATCCTGAATCCAAAGATCCAAGAGAAGTATGAACTCTCGTTTCCAGTAATAATGATAATGGATTGCATTCATATAGCGCTTTTCTAGGCACCCAAAGCGCTTTACAATTCCACTATTCATTCACACACTGATGGAGGTAAGCTGCAGTTGTAGCCACAGCTGCCCTGGGGCAGACTGTAGGGTAGGTTTAAGTGTCTTGCCCAAGGACACAACGACCAGGACAGAGAGAGCAGGAGGACCGAACCGGCAACCTTCCGGTTACAGACGAGCTTCCCAATCCCTTGAGCCACGGTCGCCCCCCAGTACGCTGGAATAGACCTTCCTGGTGAGGCTGAGGACTGTGACCTCCCTTTAGCTGGAGTACACATACTAGTCCCCCTTCCTAAAGTTGGGAAACACCACCCGATTCTACCAGTCTAGAGGCACTGCCCCAGAGCTCCACGTAACCTTGGAGAGGTGTGTAAACCAAGTCAGCGCTACAACATCTGGGGCCTTAAAGAACTCATTCAGTCTATCGATCCTGAATTGTTTAACTACCTCAGTGACCTCATCCCTAGTGATGAACAAGTCATCCCCCTCATCTTCAGACTGCATGTAAGGGGTTACAGAGGTTGACAAAGTATTCTTTCTACTATCCAAATATATCCTCAGTTGAAGTCAGCAGCATCACACTCACACTATACACCGTATGAGTAGGGCATTACCCTCCTGAATTCTCTGAGGGTTTTTGAGTTTTTGCTTCAGCTAACTATGTTTTGCTTGACCTGCCAGCATCTATCAGTTAGCTCAGAAGTCCCACAAGCTAACCAGGCCCAATAGGATTCCTTCTTAAGCTTGACAACTCTCTTCACCTCTGGTCTCTACCATCTGCTTTGGGGATTACCACCACAACATGCATCAACCCCCCTAAAACCACAGCTCCATGCAAGAGCCTCAAAAATGCAGGTGCAGAACATGGTTCATTCAGACTCATTGTCTTAAGCCTCCCTCGGAGTGCTGTCAAAGCTCTGCCAGGAGTGGAAAGCTTGCAGACCGGAGCCTCCAACGTCAGGATTGTCCAGCATTATGCTCCTTTACTTGATCCAGGTAAGCTGACAGCGCAGCTCTTCTCTTCACCCAGGTGTTCAGAATATAGCTGCAGATCTGATGATATGCTTAAGAAATTGATCACCAACTTGGGACCTAGGGTTTCCTGGTTCCATGTGCACTTATGGACATACTTTGTTCAAATCTGGTGTTCGTTATTGTTATAGACAGTGTGTTGTTAATGTATGTTTGGGGGCGTTGCATCCCGGAACCTTCAGAGGTTTTTCAGGGTTCTCCCTGCCGGAATGTTAGGTGTGGGACAGTTTCCTGTATGTGTGCGACTAGCTGTGGTTGTTTCTAAAAGTGGTCAGTAAACGTCCTAAAACTGGCACTTGAGTTTCCGAGCATTTTTATCCTGAGGTTATAAGAATTTATGGAGAGAAATGGGATCCGACATATCCGCACAGCACCCTACCACCCTGCCTCCAATGGCTTAGCGGAGCGCGCCGTGGAGACGCTGAAAGACGGTCTAAAAAAAATGCCAGGTCTTTCCATAGAAAAGAGGCTCTGCCGTTTCCTGTTTCAGTATCGCATCACGCCTCATACAACCACAAGCTTGTCCCCAGCGGAGTTGCTGATGGGGAGGAAGCCCAGATCTCATCTGGACCTTCTTCGCCCAGATGTGGGAGCCAGAGTCGCCCAGTCGCAAGGTGGGCAGAAGGTGAGACATGATCTACATGCCAGAGGCTGTGTTTTCAGGCAGGGAGACTGTGTGTATATCAAAAACTTTACGGGTGGCTCACGGTGGCTGCCTGGCGTCATTCACCACAGTTCAGGGCCAGTATCTTTTGTGGTGGAGTTGTTGGATGGCAGACAAGTTCGCAGGCACAAGGATCATGTGAGAGCCCGCACGGATGGAGCTGAGAAGAGGGCTCAGAGTGGTTCGCACGCACATGGTGGAGACAGGGCTGTGGACATTGTGGGGCCTCAGAGTGGTTCACCCGAAGGGGAAGTCGTGTCAGCAGCCCCTGAGATCGGGATTGGTTCTTCAGTATCACCAGAAGGGCTGGTGGAGCAATCTAAGTCACCTGAGCCGAACCCGGCCACAGGAGCTCAGCAGGCTCCTAGCCTGGAGAACCCAGCAGCAGGACTGAGAAGGTCAAAGAGGCAGCACAAGCCCCCTGATAGACTGAATTGTTAAAATAATGTGGTGTTGAATTCTCCCTCTCTTTTCGTACTTATGCATAATTGCTATGTTGTGGGTTTTTGCTTAAGGGGGGGGAAGTGTTATAGACAGTGTTGTTGTTAATGTATGTTTGGGGGCGTTGCATCCCGGAACCTTCAGAGGTTTTTCAGGGTTCTCCCTGCCGGAATGTTAGGTGTGGGACAGTTTCCTGTATGTGTGCGACTAGCTGTGGTTGTTTCCAAAAGTGGTCAGTAAACGTCCTAAAACTGGCACTTGAGTTTCCGAGCATTTTTGTCCTGAGGTTATAACAGTTATGGACAACGTGTGATTTGCACAGAAGTCTAATAACAGAACATCACTTGGCGTCCGATCAGCCTACATGAGCATTAAAGCGTCTTAGTAGCATGATGTAGTCACCAGATGGGAAGGGTGCTGGGTACTCTGAACTATCATTTGTTGCATAAGCACAAACAACAGCCAGAACGTTCCCTGTTAGCTCTCATAGAGGATCTCTGAATCACTCTTCATCTGGCCCCTCTAAGGCAAAATATACAAGTTCTGGGTAAGATAATGTCCAAGTCAAGAAAAAGGAGTCAGTGAACCTTAAGTTTAGATTATTTTGTCAAATACCACTCTGGCATATTATGTATGTTTGATCATATCATTCATACAGTCATTGGTACTACATAACGGGTTTATTTAGTGCACAATATTTCTCATTTTCTGTTGCTAGAAATAGATTCAGTCAAATTTTGAGAAATTACAATGTGTAAAAAGCAAATTAATTGTGGTTGATTCCTTGTCATGCACATAAATTATGTGCATGAGAAGGAAGGGTTGGAAAAGAAAGAAATTTGACCCTGACAGAAATAAAATAAGGTAGGGCACATCATCCAAAAATGTTAAGGGAAAAGGTATAACTCACCTAGAGCTGTCCATGATACTGTGCAGGCGGTGGGCGATGGTAAGGACTGTGCAGTCTGAGAACTCTTTGCGGATGGTGTTCTGAATCAGGTTGTCTGTCTCCAGGTCAACAGCTGCCGTGGCTTCATCCAGAATTAGGATACGTGACTTTCTCAGGAGAGCTCGAGCCAGACACAGCAGCTGCCTCTGCCCAACACTGTATTGTATTAAAGTCTTAATATCTTAAGAGGGTTTTTGTAGCGCAAAAGAAAAAAGTAAACCACAAATGACACTCATGTGTTCAAATAAAATTAGGGTTTATGTAAGTTTTGCAGAACATCACATAAGGTTTAGAATAACGAACTGTACAAAACTTATACTTATATATAACTTGTACCCAGAGGCCGTATTGTTAATTTTATTACCCACCTGAGGTTTTCTCCTCCCTCTGCCACTTTATGCTGTAATCCTTCCTGCAGCGCTGATACATAGCTCTTTAGATGAGAGAGCTCCAGCACTCTCCAAATCTCCTCATCGCTGAACTTGTCAAATGGATCCAGGTTCATCCTCAGTGACCCCGAGAACAAAACGGGATCCTGTGCACACGGGATTACAAATATCAGTGTACTTTTAGAAATATCAAATTCTTTGACAAGGTTATTGTTTATATTTATGTGTATACCTGTGGTATAATTGTGAGTCTGTTTCTCAGGTCATGCAGGCCTATTGTAGCGATATCTACATCGTCAATGAGGATGCGACCTTCAGCAGCTTCAATAATTCTAAACAGGCAGTTGGTAAGACTTGATTTCCCAGCTCCTGTGCGACCGACAATACCGATCTGAATGCAGTGAGAGAAAACACATAAGATCAAAATAACAGCTGGCACATATTTGGAAAAAAAAATCTACACATTTTTCTTTCTGGATATAAATTGTATTTAACAGTATAGCAATAAATAATGCAATAATAAGCAAATATACTCAGTCTGTACTTAGTTTGTAAAAGATCTTAGACATTTCAGTAATGTTACAGAAAGAAGCAACATTTTTCAGAGGTAGCAGATATTTTACAGTGCTTATAGTCATCACTGCTATTTGTAGTAATTCAGTGAAATATGTTATTGCAATGCAGACAGTCTTTACTCAGTTTTACTTTGACACCAATATTTCAACGTTGTCAGTGTTTGAGCTTACTCTAATCCATTGGGGACTCTGTTGTCCTATTGGGAGACTTCAGTGCACACATGGGGAACAACAGGGAGACCTGGAGGGGCGTGACTGGGAGGAACAGCCTCCTGGATCTGAACCCGAGCGGTGTTTTGTTGTTGGACTTCTGTGCAAACCACAGTTTGGCCATAACAATCACCATGTTCTAACATGTGCATGTAGCACCAGGATTCTCTGTGCAGGATTCTCTAGGCGACAGGTTGATGATTGATTTTGTAATTGTATCACCAGACCTGTGGCCATATGTTCTGGACACTCAGATAAAGAGAGGGGCTGAGCTGTCAGCTGATCACCATCTGATGGTGAGTTGGATCAGGTGGCAGAGAAGGATGCTGGACAGGCCTGGTGCAGCTAAATGTACACTTAGGGTGTGCTGGGAATGCCTAGAAGAGGCCCCAGTCTGCGAGATCTTCAACGCACACCTCCAGCAGAGCTTCAGGACATTGTGTCTGAAGGGACCATGTTCAGCACCTCCATTGCCGAAGCTGCTGCAATGAGCTGTGGCCACAGGGTGGTTGATGCCTGTGGGACTTAAGGGGCAGCTGATAGGTACCGACAGACCAAGCAGAATGCAGCTCGGGCAGTGGCTGAAGCAAAAACTCGTGTACGGAAGGAGTGCAGAGAGACCATAGCAAAAGACTTTCGTACCGCCTTGAAGAGATTCTGGCAAACTGGCAGGCAAATCAGGAGGGGGAAAAAGGTGCTCTAGCTGCACTATGTATACTGCGGTTGGAGCGCTGCTGACTTCGACTTAGAAAATTGTCGGGCGGTGGAAGGAAAACTTCAAGGACCTCCTTAATCCCACTGGTATATCTCATCTGGGGACAAAGGGGATGACCTGCCAATCACTGGGACGAGGTCACTGAGTCAGTTAAACAACTTCTTGGTGGCAGAGCCCCTGGGGTGGATGAGGTATGCCCTGAGTTCCTGAAGGCTCTAGATATTGTAGGGCTGTCCTGGTTGACACACATATACAATGTTGCGTGGACATCAGGGGTGGTACCTCTGGATTGATAGATGGTTCCCATTTTTAAGAAGGGGGACCGGAGGGTTTATTTCAGTTATGGGGGATCACACTCCTCAGCCTCCCCGGGAAAGTCTATGCCAGGGTGCTGGAAAGAAGGGTCTATCTGTTAGTCGAACCTCGGAAACAGGAGGAACCATGCGGTTTTCGTCCTGGTTGTCGAACACTGGACCAGCTCTTTACCCTCTCAAGGATACTTGAGTGTGCGTGGGAGTTTGCCCAACCAGTCTACATGTGTTTTGTGGACGCGGAGAAGGCATTCAACCATGTCCCTTGGAGTGTCCTGTGCTCCAGGAGTATGAGATCCTTGGCCCATTGCTACGGGCCATTCAATCTTTATACAACCGTTGCAAGAGTTTGGTCCGCATTGCCGGCAATGTCAAGCTTGTTTTTGCTTGGTGATGGGCTCTGCCAGGGCTGCTCTTCTGTTCATAATTTTTATGGATAGAATTTCTAGGCGCAACCAAGTGACGGAAGGCTTTCACTTGGGTGGTCTCAGAATCTCATCTCTGCTTTTTGCAGATGATGTGGTTCTGTTGGCTTCATCGGGTAATGGCCTCCAGCTCGCACTGGAACGGTTTGCAGCCGAGTGTGAAGCGGTGGGAATGAAAATCAGCACCTCCAAATCTGAGGCCATGGTCCTCAGCAAGAAAGCAAAGACCCAGGAAACCATGGAGACATTATATCTCTTGGCTGGCCTGGAAATGCCTTGGTGTTCCCCTGGATAAGCTAGAGGAGGTGACTAGGTAGAGGGAGGTCTGGGCTTCTCTGCTTAGGCTGCTGGCCCCGCGAATCGGTCCTGGATAAGCACAAGAAGATGGATGGATGGATGTATTGATAGCAATGCTGAATATTCCGGCCTAGCAAAAAATGTTTGGGAACAACTGCCCATAGACTAGTTACATGTTTACATATCACAGCTGATTATAATATACAGTAATACACATAATGTATAAATTAAAAGAAAAACTGATAGTTGACATTATTTTACAGTTTAATTATATGTAATTACTGTCAACACAGATTGATCTGTGGCATCTTTCTTGAGTAATTGATTAATAGATTGGTCTATAAAACATTAAAAAAAACCCCAAACAATAGAATGTCAACAGCACAAAGTCTAAATGACAAATTTCAACATAATAGCTTTTCTAAACTCAAATAAAAAAATGATGTGCATGTCTGTATCTGGAAGCTACATTTTAGATACAGTTGGCCAATCTCAGCCAGCAGAAAGCTTGCACATGTTGTTAATAGTTAACCTTTTAAATTAAATAGTGGTACAATTTTATATATTATGGATTTTTCAATGAGGGAGAAAAAAACTTCCCAATGATTTAATTAATGTCCATCCAATTTTTTTCTTTTTCTTTTTTAGCAGTGCATGCTTTTGTATCTTTGGTGAATATGATATCAGATACAGTAAAACCTATAACTTTTACAGGAACTTTATACATATATGGAGACTCTCCCTCTCACGCTCACACACACACACCTTCTCAGTGCTGTTGATGTCACAAGTGATTCCATGCAGCACTAAATCCAATTCAGGTCTGTAACGGACTTTGTAGTTCTCAAAATGCACTCTTCCTGCCTCTGGCCACATCTGTGGAGGTCGAGTGTCAGTTACCCAGTCAGCCTGTAACAACAGAAAAAGAAGCAGAACGCATGTGTAATATAATACAAAAGCTATCAAATTGAGCTAAGGGAGCTCTTTTATATGTTGTGCATTAATATTCAAACCAAGATAAATAAGAAACAAAATTATACAGACGCCATACATGCAGACATGCACGCATTACACCACTAAAATAAAGGAAAAAAGAAAACTTAAAAAGACGTCACACTTAGTAAAAAATTAAATAGCTCAAATGAAAATATGCAACCAAGATTAACAATCAAGGCCAAGTGTACATGTGCAATGTTATATTCTAAATCAGATTAAATTCAGTATGAACAGCATGATGGGATCTGCTAATCATTGGAGCTCTGGTGCCATTATGAATAAACAACCCAACTCAAATATAACAGGTGGAGTTCAAACATGTGAAATCAAAAGTCAGTGAAACATAAAATTAAATTGTTGCATCAAAATCCTGTTTGTTTGACAATTATCTGAATCGTTATCAGTAATATGTTAAGAAACAGTGGAGAAACAGCAGCTGGGAATAAAAGTATTATCACTGTACAGTGAGCAAATATTGCAGTTGATGTCGCACACAAGCGTATTAGATTCCTGTTGAACTGTTACAGTTACAATAAACTCACAGCCTGCGGAAATCTTAAAATTCATGTCCTATTTAAGAAAACAGTAGATTTTGATTTAACCAAAGTATAAATAATGTCATATGGCAGCATGGTCGTTAACACTGTTGCCTCACTGCAAGAAAGTCCTGAGTAAGACTCAAGCATCTGGCTGGGACCTTTCTTTGTGGAGTTTGGATGCTCTCCCCATATCTGTGTGGGTTCTCTCTGGGTACTCTGGCTTTCTCCTACAGTCCAAAGATATGCAGTTACTGGGGTATGGTCAATTGGAGATTCTAAATTTCCCACAGGTATGAATATCAGTATGAATGGATGTCTGTCTTTTGTGTTATCCCTGTTTCAGATTGGCGACACATCCAGGGTGTATCACCCTCACGCTAGGGTAGCTGGGATAGGCTCCAGCACCCCCGTGACCCAGATAAGGATAGACTGAAGAGAATGGATGAATGGATAAATAATGTCTTGCTTACAAAGTATTTCTACATGCCTCGTTCTTAAGCTGAGTGTATTCGTTCACTCTCTCCACAGCTACAATATTGGTCTCCAGCTCTGAGGTCATCCTCACCAGCCAGTTGAGGGTCTGGGTTACCTGCAGAACCCCAACAGGAGAGAGGTCTGTGTTTACATTATTGTGACCTGACAAAGAACAAAGGAAATAGGTTATAAAATCCACACATAAGAATTAAGGGAAATGGACATAGCTGGGGAACAAAGCAAAACTTAAAAAGAAAGAAAAACTAAATGTAAGAGACAGGAGAAAAATGACTAGCAAAATAAAAACAAAACAAAACAGGGAATGAGAAACAATAGTTTGAAAGAGGGACACAAGAACTTTACAGAATGAAGAACACTGAATGAGCACATTGAGCAAACACTGAGAGAAAAACTTCAAAGTTCTACAATCAGGACTACAGTAACTTTGTACTTCTACGTAGTTCTACAAAGGTCCCTGCAAAGTCACAGAAAATGTTAGTGGTAACGGTAAACAAAACCTTTAAAGCACTGTAATTCTTCATACTTGCAAACTGCTACACAGCGTACAGATTAGCAATGTGCCTCATTTTTGTGTAGGTCCTGATGGTGTCTGTGAAGGTTCTCAGTCATGGAGGTCATCGTAGTCTAAGGCAGCGGTCCCCAAACCCCGGGCCTCGGACCGGTACCGGCCTGTGAGTCGTTTGGTACCGGGCCGCGAGAGTTGAGGCTCAGGTGTGAAATGTATAGTTTTCAGGGTTTTTATCGGTTTTCAGCGTTATTTTGTTATCGTTTTTATCGTTTACTCGGTTTTTGTGTGTTATGAATATATTTTCTTTTTTTCGGTACTGGTACTAGTTTTATTTTGTTGTATTTATCCGCGACACCTTAAAGGCCGGTCCATGAAAATATTGTCGGGCATAAACCGGTCCGTGGCGCAAAAAAGGTTGGAGACCGCTGGTCTAAGGAGTTGGAAAGAAAAGCGTCTGAACTTCTGTAAGTTGCTTGAAGAGGTTTCACCTCTCATCCGAGAAGCTTCTTCAGTTCTAAGGTCAAATGGTGGAGAAGTCCCAGATTTAAACCCAGTGGGAGTTACCCCCCAAAGAGGGACAAAGGACCCCCTGATGATCCTCTACCTAGTCACATGAGCCAAGGTGTGAAAACGAGAAACCCTGGCTGATTGTGACCCACTCCCGTTTTCATTTTCAATCCATTTCAATCCATTTTCCTCTGATGAATTGTTCCCTAGCTTTTTGAAAAAGATCTTCACCTTCTCTTTCAAAAGGTAAAAACTGTCAGTTTGTAAGCATCCCATAATCCACAGTGACCTCTCCATATAAAGTCTGTTTCCTTTCTGTATCGTTGCTGACTTGAAAGCAAACTGCTATTAAGCTTAGTGCCCGTCCTTCACGCCTAGTTTCTTTTTAAAACTAAAATGTGAAATCTTCCGGAGTTAAACCCTTCACTTCTTACAGACATTTTTGTATTAAAAAAAAAACTAAGCAATTCCAAATACATTATGATCATTTTAGTGTTACAAAATTTATTTAAATTTTTTTTTTAAAAATGGTATTAAATCATATAGTATTTTTAATTATACAATCCTGTGATTTCATAGGCATTTAACATGTATTGTCCAAACTCATTAATATATCTTGAGAAAAATATAAAACATGTATTTCTGTTTTTATAAGTTTATGGTATATTTACCGGTTTTGTTGAATAATTCTAAAAAAGTACATAACCAATAAAAAATGCACCATTTTTTTTAAAATATACCCTGTGAAGGTTTACAAATACTAAATGGAAATTATTTACTCATAAAAGGAACATTTATAGATGCTGTCATCATTTTCTTGGGATGAATGTGTGAGGTCAAATATTTCATGAATCTTACTTTATATGCATTTTTATGATT